ATCATATTTTCATTTAAATTCGGATTCTTTTTTTGTTGTTCAAAAAATACAGTAGCTTCTGAAATTTTAAATTCAAATAGCTTCATAGTATAACTTAAAGAAACTGGAGTTTTATATCTTTTTTTCAGCTGTTTCTACAAAACTATTACTCTGCGCTGAATCTAAAAATATTATAAAAATTATTAAAGATCTTTAAATATTATGTAATATTTTGAAATATTATAATTATATTATATTTTTCATTATTTGATTCACTACATCTTTTTTATTACTAAGACAATACAGTTTTTTTATATAAGTTTTGTATAAACTTTCATATATCTCAATAGTATATTCATTTATTATCCCGTATTCTCGAATTGTATCAATTATATGATAGATCAACAAGTGTAATACTCGAAAATTGATAAATAATACACATATCGAGTACCTGATATGTGCATGGTATGTCCCTAATATTGGGCATATATCGGGTACCCGATATGTATAGAAAATATTTTATATATATATCAGGTACCCGATAAGTGTAAAAAAATATTTTCTACACATATCAGGTATCTGATATATGTCCGATATTAGTGACGTACCATGCACATATTAGGTATTCAATATGTATATTATTTATCAATTTTCAACCAGTGTAATTTTGAAAATTTCAATTTAAAAAGTAAAAATTTTTAAAATAATTTAATGAATAGATTGATCCAATCATTAATCACTTTCTATATAATTAAATAGATTAATATTTTATTTTTTTAGCTATACTTGAGGAGCAATTATTTTTACTTGAAATTTTTGCAAATCGCTTTCTTTAAACATTTCCAATTAATTTATCAAATACATTTTATTCCATTTCATGTAGACTATACCTGCCACCCAAATTCAAAATCCAAATGCCGAAATCCCAAATGCCGAAATCCCAAATCCCAAATCCCAAATTATGATTAGTATTTTTTGCCGAAATCCCAAATCCCAAATCCCAAATACTAGTAATTTGGGATTTGGGCAACACGTATAAGGTAGACATGATAGAATTGATAGTGAAACGAGTATATATGATGAAATCGATAGTGGGATGGGTAAAAACAATGAAATGGATGGTAAAACGGATAGATATGACGAAATCAGTGAAATTGACGGTGAACCAGGTAGATATGACGAAGTTGATATTGGAACGGATAAAAATAATGAAATGGATAGTGAAACAGGTATATATGGCGAAGTCGATATTGAAACGGATAAAAATAATGAAATGGATAATGAAACGGGCGAAATTGATGGTGAAGTGGGTAGATATGGCGAAATCAATAGAACGGATAAAAATAATGAAACAAGTAGATATGGTGAAATTAATAGAGGAACAGGTAAAAATAATGAAATGGATGGTAAAACGGACGATAAAACAGGTAGATATGGCAAAATCGGTAAAATGGATGAAATTGATGGTGAAACAGATAAAATTGATGGTGAAACGGATGAAATTGATGATGAAATGGGTAGATATGGTGAAATTAATAGAGGAATGGGTAAAAATAATGAAATGGATGACAAAACAGACGATGAAATGGGTAGATATGGAAAAATCGGTGAAATGGACGAAATTAATGGTGAAATTGATTGTGCAATGGGTAAATATGATGAAATGGATAGTGAAACGGACAGATATGACAAAATCGATGGTAAAACATGTAGATATGATGAAATAAATAGTGAAACGGGTAGACAAAAAATAGATGAATTTAGTAATGGGAGTGGTTACGACGAAACAGATGAATTTAATAATGGGAGTAGTTATAGTGAAACAGATGATAAAATTGGTAAAACGGAATATGGAAAAATAAATGAAATAAATAAAAATAAAAATAATGTAGATGAAAATAAAAATAATGAAAATGAAAACAATAATAATATATCACAAAATATAAGCAAAAAATCAGATTTTTTTGATTATTTTGATCTAATTGATATAGACAATTTAAATCAAGTTGAT